TGAGGCCCATTGTCACCTGGTGACTAAGTGACACACATATGAACAAAATGAGTGACAGCTTTCACCCTCACCTGTTAAAATTAACATTGATCAATAACATTTACAGACCTCAGTTAAAGATTCTAAATTTAGCTTCTAAATTTAGCAAACGCTAATCCACTAATACATTTTAAGATTAGCAAAAGCACTAAAGCACTAATCAGGAAATTAGTTCCCCTGTTAGTGCTTTAGTGCTTGAGGAGAACTGTGCCCACCGCTTATCAGACACTGAAGGAAATTAAATTGTGCGTGTTTTTTTCCCTTGTCTATGCATAATCAAAATTGTGGATGGACAACTGGCTAGTGAGGTAAATTTTATTTACTTTTTAAGTTAAAAAAATTAATTAATAATTTGAGAGGTAAACTGTCTGTTCACAGAATTTCAAGGCAAACCTATGTGTTTCGTCTGGTTAGAGATGCTATCTGCCAGGAAGGATTTTAATATTTCAATAAAATCAGCCACTTCCCCCTTTAGCTCTGCTTTGAGCACTGCCTAATGTCCAGTTAAAACAACTCAGAATGCTGGTGTTATTCAGTGTTTGTCAATAAACGTGTATTTTGACCTTTGTGACACCTGACAGTCAGTTATTTTAAAAAATCAGTATTGGCCAAAATTGGAATCTGCATGTCAGACATGTAAAAGATCAGTGATCYGCCAGACAACTGCAATCGGTGCACCTCTAATACACAAACATTTTTTTTGGTAAGTGTCCTGTGTTATGTGGCCCTCTTGTATTATCAACAAAAATCTGTGGCCACTTCCATTTTTAAGTTGCTCATCCCCTGATCTATATGATCTGTTTTCACATTCAGTCATTAACTTTTCCCTCACTAGACTTATCTTAAATCTTGATGGTTTCATTTATTTCTGCATCACAAACTTGTCACATATTAGGCCTCCAAATTTCTTTAATCCTTATTTTAATTTGKCAACATTACCTGATTCGGTTCATGTTGTACACATGTATTGGAGCAGTTAAAACATTCAAGAATGAATCCTCACACGTTACTGAGAAGATACCGAGAACTGTCCCAGACGATAAGCATTTAGAAGGATTATTGTTTTTCACTGCTAAAGTAAACACTTGTGGTTTCAAATCTACACCCCAGTACGCCTATATACATTCACAAACACATCTGTATAAAATCCAGGCACACCCTGAACTGAATTGTACAGCTGTACATTTGATGACCTCTATTCAGCCACAAGAAAAGGACAACTGTCAAATTGAATGACACAAGGTATATTTTATTTCTCTGTGCATCTGACCTACGCATTTTGCCTCCGATATATGTTCTATGTATTTTCATCTAGGGCTGCAGCGCAGGTAATTGAAAAGCATTGCTCAGTGTAGCGTATGCGTTCAGACATGCGATGAGGCCACCATCACGGTTCAGCATGGCCTGGAAGGAATGAGGGAACAGGAGGAGAGAAAGACCGTGTGCTGTGGTAGATATTTTAGATTAACAAGACCCTAACTCCCCCTTCAATGTCAGTGGGTCAACTTGATATGTCTATATATTTATGGTATCAGAAACATCAAACTTTAAGCTTATACAATGCTATAAAAAATATGGTTGTTGTTTTTTTTGTTTTTATTAAAAGCAACAGTTTAGTCTCAGGTTTAGTCATGGGTTTGAATGTAGTCACCATATTTTAACACGCAGAAGCACTTTTAGGTGCAATAAGGCTGTAAAATGATTCTGGCTCCAGTTATTCAACTAAACATCAACTTCAAATCTTAAAGGTCTTTCTGTGCAGAGTTTGCATGTTCTCCTCGTGCGTYCGTYGGTTTTCTCRGGGTACTTTCCCCACATGACAAAAACGTACAYTAAGTTGCCTTCCGGTCCAGGCCTCCCTTGAAAAAGAGATCTGTGATCTCAGTGGGATTTACCTGGTTAAACAATGGTAAAATAAAAAATAAAGATTTTTCATGTTGTTACTACTGAAAACACTGACTTGATGTACATGATTAACTTTTTCTTTAGTTATTAAAACTAAACAATTTCCATTTTTAATACATATCCATGCATATTTCTTTATTTTCTCACTGGCTTCCAATTTTAAAAGATTTTTGAGACACAATTTTGATTTACACCACAAAGGTTTATATATATATATATATATATAT